TAGACATTGTAATCTCTTAGTAAGTCCTTTTATTTTGGATAATTGCCATCAAGTCATATAATGAAGTTGACAAGCGTTATAAGAGGATGTGCAATGTTTGTCTTAGGAATTTCAATGATCATTATTCTTTTTGGCACTATATCATACGAACAATCAAAAAATGATCCTGGTATATATAAACACTATCAAAATACAAGTTGTTTAATAATAGATCATAAATTCATTACTAGTTACAAAGCAAGCAAGTGCTATGGCGCTCGTAATGCCGCTCCTGCGTGTACGTCTTCAAATGTCACTTATGACAGACTTTCTTTGTCATATATAATTCGGAATGGAACACTTGTTAATAGTACAAGGGATACCGATATCTTTCGACGATCAAAGTATTCTAAAGTATACACTTTCATATTTTTATGACAAATCGAAATAATTTTAATATTTATTTTTTCTTAGATTGGTTCTCATCACAAATGTTTCTACAATCCAGAACATGTAACAGATGTGATCCTGGAACTCCCTAGTGGACCATCTGATTTAACTATTGCATATGTTTTTTTTGGGATTGGTTTTGGAATGTTCGTAGTAGCTGTTGTCTTGTATGTTGGCGCATGCATTAAAGAAAAAAAAAAAGAAAACTTGAACGATTCAAGCCAACATACTCCAATGGAACTGAAGGCGTTTACGTCAAGCGATAAAAAAGAAAATATAAACGAAATAACTTATGTCAACAACAAAACAATAAATCATGCTTAATTTATCGTAAGCAGTTTTTGAGGATTTTTAAGGATCTTCTCTTTTTACAAATTCATTTTCTTTTTTCTTCCCATGTGTATTCATATCATTAATACTAACATATGCGTTTTTCTATATCTTTCTTTAAATGTGTATTATTCTTTGTGGTGTTCTTTTTTTTTGTTTGTATTTACTCTTATGATAGACGTTTTCGTGCAAGCAAAAAAATTCTATCGCAATTTTTACGGTTTTTTTTACAATACAATAAACAAGATGATATCTAAATACCCATTGAGTAAAATATAGAAACATATAGTATGACTTGCGTGAATTTCAAGTCACAAATACGAAGAACGAAGAGCATGGCATTTTTCCCGATAAAACAGACAGAAAGATTCATGTTTTTCAATTTTTGTTGATGATTCAAATGACTATGATTTTATACTATCAGCTTTTTTGTTTTCATGAATCTTATTTAAAAAATATTGGTACTATCCTTGAATGAATAATAATGTTTATCGTCAAGCATATTTATGTGAGAGAGTGTGGGTGATTATAAAAGAAAATATAAATAATACATAATCACGAGTTATATGAGTCATTCGAATTTTCTCGAAACTAATGTAAATAAAAGAAAAAACCAGCCACCTAAAATGAGTAATAATAGGATACGCTTTGTTAGTTCTTATTTATTTTAAAAAAATTCAGATTCTGAACGTGCTCAAAACACATCTACTACATCTAATAGAATTTTAACGGAATAAAATGACTAATTATTTAAGAGACAGTAGTGCATTCATCCTGAGCGCATAGGTATGGGTGCAAGAGCTGAAAAAGATTCACTTGAGGTATACATCTTTATCATCAAGAATCACATAAAAATCTCTGATGCAATAATCGGATTGAAAAAACTTAATTAAAACAAACCGAAAAGAGATTACACATATGATAGTGGCTTTCTCTATTTATTTAAGAAAATAATAATAATAAAAAAGTCGTCATAACTTTTTTTTAAATATCAATGACGTTTTAGAGTAAATAACAAATAATTTATTATTTCGGTTATCTCTTTCTTATTTATTCATAACATATCTTCAATTCATCTACATTAACATATATGTGATATGGATGACCATCAGTTATTTCGAAATAATTCCATTATTTTAAAATATAGAATATTATTTGATTGAGAAATGTCTAACTGAAGTTATTTGAAGATACTCGAAGAAAAATATTGTATAACACAATAGATCTTTATTTGCATTATCATCGTGAACGTTCTTATATTTAATTCCTTATCTTTGTTTTTTTTTACTTTAACATGCTGATGTGATATAAAAATTCATATTAAATATTGTTTACTATATTTGAGTATAGAATCTATGACAGCACCTAAAGTAATCTGAATATAAACAATATTGTTATATAAAATCTTGTCAAAATATTTTTGTATTTTATATAGAAATTTACTAATAAATTAGTTCTTACAGCATTTGCTACTGGTTCAGGTTTGGTATCATTTGGTTGGAGTACTGATTATCTCAATAATACACAAGAAGAGTAGGTGTAGGTGGGTAGTCAAGTCATCTCACACTCACACTCTCTTATATATCAATTTATAGAAGAACGTTTGCTCTAGAAATGTCTAATTTACCTATATTCTTTTTTTTCATATCATAATGAAGATTCAAAATTCATTACATTCTAAATATGAAATTTTATTAAAATGGGTGTAATATTTGATTAGTTTCAGTTCTAGTTTATTGAGATTGAGCTACAATAATTGTTATGAGTGAATAATGATAGTCATTTGACTGATAATATTTTATTAGAAAATTTCAAGAACAGTTATTCCAGTACCAAACTGTTTCATGTTTATTCCATACATCTCATTACCAGGCAGAAAATTTAAATTGTATAAAAATTAAACTATCCAATAATGTTTACAATATTTCTACTAACCTACGTTCTACTGAATTTTGTAAGTTCATATATAAACATTTATATTTTATCTCTTCGAGCTGTTGTGTTAAGATTATTATACAATGCGATTAAAACTAGGATTAGAAATAGATCACCACAACTCAGTAGGAAACATCTCTTATTAAAACATATTTTGCCAATTCCGTCAATAATACAGAAACAATGAGTCGACAACACAATTGATGATGATTGTTGAACAGATATCTGTAAGTCTCCTTACTTTCTAAATCTTCACGATAATACATTGATGAAATAATGGTGAAACAAGTTTGTGTTTATGATACAACTTCTATTGGTGCACTTTCTCTAACAGATCTACTATTTATATTATTCTTTCTTTGATTTCGTCTTGTTTCTTTTTGATTTAATATTCGCCTATTTGTAATTTGCATAGATGATAAGAAAAACTGTTTCTAGCGTGAATTTCTTGTTTTCATAACTAATTCTTTTTTCGTTTTAATCGTAGACATACATACAATAAATATTTTTGGTAAAATGAGCATAATAAAAAAGAAATATTTTGAATTTATGTTCTTTCCCAAGATGTTATTTCATTTCTAAATAGTTAAATAAAGAATCTTTTTATGTCAGACACACCATAAATATATAGTTTATGTAGCATGTGAATTTGACGTCGGTAGATTTTTCGAAAATAATAAAAAATAATCTTGTTTTTCTATCATTATTTCATCAGAGTGAAATTATACACAGAGAACATTTAGATTGGTCAGAATGATTATGATTAGCGAGACGATATACTCATTTTTATGAAAATTACGTTTATGATAGACACTTTTTATAAGAGATATGATAAACCCTGCTGTCATGGTTCGTTTCATCGACAGATTTGCTCGACGATAAACATTATTTTTCATTCAAATACATTAAAAATATCTTTTAAATTAGATCGATGAAAAGAAAAAGCTAAGAGTAAGACATTGATTCATATTATCTGAAGATATCGATCAGTCTGTTTTTAATTTACGAATTTAAATTTCGGCCTCAAACAACTAAAAAAGAATTATTATGAAAAAGCGAAATTATGGTCGTCAGATTTTTGAATGAAATTGAAAGACATGAGTCTTTCTGTCCGTTTTATCGTGAAAAAAGCCATGTACTTTGTTCTTTGTGTTTGTGACTTAAAATTCATGAAGGTTATGCTGTACGTTTTTAAACTTTATTTCATCGGGATTTTTACATGATTTTCTTTATTATATAAAAAAAACCTTACAGAAAAATTCTGATACAATTAAACATGATTTATTGTTTCGTATCGTTGACAGGAATTGTCCTACTTGTATCTTCATTTCTGTCAGTTGACGTGAACGCCTTCAGCTCTATTAGAGTGTGTTGATTTGAAGTGTTCAAAGTTTCTTTTCTTTTCCTTATAATCCATGAGCCAAGAAACAAGGCAAGACATGATATCAGGATTCCAAAACCAATTCCAAAACAAATATATGTGAAAATAAGAGAATGTTTTTGGAAAGAAAATAAAATGCTGTAAACAATAGAGACAATGGAAATTGCAAAGGCAATCGGTGCACATCCACGTAAAAAAGTTGCAAAATCCATTATGTGACTTGACGGCAGCTATCTAAAATAAAAGAATTTAATAAGAGGTCACAATCTCGATGTCTTTATATGTGAATGACTATGTAAATGAATATCGATCCATACACAACACAATATCTAAAATACCTTTATATATAATTTCGATTGTACTTTTATATCATCATGGTTACTTGGTTTTCTCCAATGAAGAAGAGGTGAGCATATGAATAAACGCAACGAAAAATCAACTTCGAAGCATTTTCACGAGCTACCACAACGCGTTTCGATCTAGCTGGCAGATCTCATCAGGTGACTTTCATTTTTGAACAAATAAATTCGGATTCAAATTATTCTGTAGAAGGAAATGACTGAATTTCTTATTATTTGAATATGTGTAATCGAAAATTAGTCATTGATAAATTCCTCCAAACAAAGATAAATTAGGAAAAAACCAAGTATTTACAATGAATAAGAATAGATTATGCGTCATTAATTCCTATTTGTTTCAGCTTTATGTCACGCCTTCTTGAACGTTATAAACAAATTGATGTTGGAGAAAACCGAGTAACCATGATGATATAAAAGTACAATCGAAATTATATTTAAAGGCATTTTTAGCATTGTGTTTGTTAGGGATAGTTATTCATTTACATAGTCATTCACATATACAGACATCGGGACTAGCACCTCTCAATAACTGTTTTTATTTTAGATAGCTGTCGTCAATTCACATAATGAATTCTGCAACTTTTTTACGTGGATGTGCAATATTTGCCTTTATGGTTTCGATGATGTTTATCGGTTTCGGCATTACAGCATACCACCACACGCATGATCCTGATACATATAAACTCTATAAAAATACCAGCTGTCTAATAACAGATCATAAACGCGTTACTGAAGAAAAACGTGTATGCTATGGCGCTGGTCAAAGAACTGGTTGTACGTCTCTAGATGTGACTTATGACAAACTTTTTTTGTCATATATTATTTGGAATGGAACACTTGTTAATGGCACAAGGTATATCGAGTTCTCTACAGAAAGAGATTACTCTAAAGAAGTAAATACTCTCATAGTCTTGTGACAAATCGAAATCATTCTATAATTTTTTTTCTTTAGATTGGTTCTCATCACAAATGTTTATACAACCCAGAACGTGTAACAGATGTAGTTTTGAAACTTCCTGATGGAACAGGTATAACTTTTGCATATGTCTGTTTTGGAATTGGTTTTGGAATTCTGATATTAGCTGGGGTCTTGTTTCTTGCCTCACGGAGTATAAAAAGCGAAAATGGCATTTAATTTATCGAAAGCAATCTTCCCGGATTTTTGAGACTTTCTCTTTTTTTAAGAAATATATTTTTTTTGTTTTCATCATTAAACATCTCTTTTTTACTATTATATGCGTTTTCCTTTATCTTCAATAAAATCTTTTTCATACTTTCTTGTTCTTTCTTTTCCACTAATATGTATTTTTATGACCTTTAGATCACATATTTTTGCATAACACAAAAAAATTATATTACAATTGTTTGTTGCTTTTTTTCCTATATAATAAACAAGATAATACAAAGATATCCTTGAAGTAAAATTTAAAAGCATGCCGCATAGTTTTCATGAATTTCAAGTCACAAATACGAAAAACGATGAATATGGCATTTTTTTCACAATAAAACGGGCAGAAACATACATATTTTTCAATTTTGTCGATAAATCAGACGGCTGTGATTTCATTTTTTCACAATAATTCTTTTCTAACTGTGTGATAACGAAAATAAAATTTATTAATTGAAAACAGACCGATTTAAATCTTCAAATAACATGAACCAGTTTCCTACTCTCAGCTTTTTTGTTTTGATAAATCTAACCTAAAAAATATAGGAAATATCCTTAAATGAATAATAATATTTACCATCAAGCAAATATGTGAAAAAGTAAATGTGGATTATGAAAGAGAATATGCATAATATATAATCACGAGTTATATGAGTCATTCGAATTTTCTCGAAGCCAATGTAAATAAAAGAAAAAACCAGCTACCTAAAATGAGTAAGAACAGGATACGCTTCGTTAGTTTTTACCTATTTTAAAAAATAATTGAAATTTCGAAAGAACTCAAAACACATCTAGTACATTTAATAGAATTTTAACGGAATAAAACGGCTCATTATTGAAAAGACAATAGTACATTCACTTTGAGAAAACAGTTATGAGCGGAACAGGTGAAAAGGATTGACTTGAAGTATACATTCTGTATCATCAAGAATAACATGAAAATGTCTAATGGAATAATCGTATTGAAAAAGCTTAAAATCAAACAAAAAGAGGTTACTTATATAATAGTGGATTTGTCTCATTGAATAATATTCATTTAATAAAATAATAAGAAGAAGAAAATCGTCATAACTGTTCTTTGAATAGAAATGACGTTTTAGAATAACTAACAGATAATGTGTCATTTCTGTTATCTCTCTCTTATTTATTCATAACAAATATTGAATTCATCTACATTAACATATATATCATATGGATGGCTATCAGTTATTTCGAAATAATTCCATTATTATAAAACAAAGAATTTTATTTGATTGAGAAATGTCTAACTTAAGTTATTTTGAAGATACTCGAAGAAAAATATTGTACAACAACAAATCTTTATTTGCATTATCATCATAAACTTTGTTATATTTAATTCCTTATCTTTGCTTTTTTACTTTAACATGCTGATGTGATATAAAAATTCATATTAAATA